GTTAACCAATATGCAAATTAGCCTGCAGTACCACTGCTCTACCCATATGAGCAGCAAAAACACGTTTTTAGACCAAATATTACAGATTTGAACAAATACGCWCAAAAACATCAMAATTAGCACAGAAAYAGTTCTATATAACATTTTARACACATTCTAGACAGTTTATCAGCTAWAAAAWKTTAATTTTGGGGTAAGTTACTCTTTAAACAATCTATTCAGATTTATGCTCTCATTTGTTAAAAAGGTCTGCAGATTTSGATTTGATAACTTTCCCAGAGACCTGAAATATTTCTGCAACTGTTTCTACTGTTACAGACAAAACCTGGTAGCCTGAAACTGAAAACCTTGTATTATTAATGTTCTAAGTTTTATTGGTAGAAGTTCTTCTTGAACAATTCCAAATACAAGATTGTTATGCCATAGTTTTTATCACAAGTGCTACAACTACTGACAGACTTACGTATTATAAATATAGAGGGTATAGAAGTTTTATGAGCAGAGAATAATTTGGTTCTCCAGTGTCTCCTTACCTAGTTGTTATAAACACAGGGTAGGAGACTAATCAGTGCCATGGAAGTTGCAGCTGAGGCTTTTAACCCTACATGTGGTAGAATATGCCACGTTTCTTTCTGTTATTTGACTCAAGAGCTTAAAAAAGCACATAGGAACTGTAATTATTCTAAGTAGAGTTAAAGAAGCACGGTAAAAGAAAACTTGAACAGCAGTCATTTTATGAGCATAAAAGTTTTGAAAAGTAGGTCTTTTGTGCATACATGAATATCATTAATGCCACTGAATGCAGTTCAGAATAAAATGTTACCAGGCATGATCAGGGTAAGAGCCAAAGCTGACCCATTCACTTGCACATTCAGATTCTGTGAAATTGTTGCCTGAATTGAGTTGTTTCTCTGCCAAAGTATCTACCTGTACCTGGACATTGTTTCTCTCCAGCCGAGTCATGACCCTTCCTGTTCTGTAAGACTCTCTCAGCAGCAGACCAGCCCACACCTGTCCTCAAGCCTGACAGCCTGTAATCAGCGTGGAGATATGCCGTGACTGTGTGAAACGCAAAACAGCCTGTGGATCTGTCTACAAACATATTCCCAAACCTCTCAAACACACAGATACATCGCTCACCGTGACCTTTTCCCTTTCACTTTGAATGAGCAGTACTTAAAGTGTACGTGACAGGCAAAACAAACTACATAAATGGGACATTGGTGGGCAGAGTTGCTGCGTGCGGCAGGCGGAGTGTGAGAGGTGACAAAAATGCCTAAAAATACAGAAGCGTTCCCAGGTGCRCACTCACATCATTAAATCTAAAGCGACCCAATTTCTTACCAGATGTCTACATGTCCCAAGAGCTGTCTCTGCACACCTATCATCTCAAGAAACCTGCTAAAGACGGCAAATAAAATACATACAACGAGAGCTTCACAATGGAACCCTGTATAGATTTCCATCGTGRGAACATCGGTGTTCTAACAGGACTCTTATTTAATTCATTGTTCCAGTATATTTTTCTGACCACTCCATTGATTTATTCCCCTTATTGAATTGTCAGCAGTAACTCTTCTCTTWATTCTCTCTTCAGTTCCCTGTTGTTTATTTTTCCTCCTTCTGTCTCTGCAGAGGGCTTGGCTGTAGGAGTTGGTTTCGGCGCTGTAGGAAAGACGACCTCTGCCACGTTTGAGAGCGCCAGGTAAGACCAAGACAGGGAGCCGAGCTCACAGAACATTTGTCTGAAATAAAACCACTGGGAGGAAGTTCTGCCTAATACACTGGTGTCCTGTGTTTGTCAGTGTGGGGAGTGAACATGAGAGAAACAGAGTGACATTCAGTTTGGAGTATATTGTTAAACGTTATTTATGAGGGTTAAAACTTCATAAAAGTTTTTTATAAATTTGAAAGGGTTGGTTTTGAATTAAACGTGTAGAACTAGTTTGCTGTGAAGTTATAGAGTCCCCCCCCCCCATCCTTGGCCAAACAAACTTGCTGCATGATGTTGTCATCTAGTGGTGACATCTGGTACTGTTGGTACAAATGAAACCAGATTTCTTCATATAAACAAGATTCTAGTCTTGCTCTCTCAGCATAACCAGCATCTTATTAAATTATTTTTAGTAGCGTCAAATTATTCTAATGACATGTATGAAAAGAAAAACACCATGCTTCACTGTCTTAGCCCTCTGGATGTTTCCTGAACAGTCTGGCAGGAATTTGTCTGCAGATGGTGCTGCAGTAAAAGTTTATACTTGATTCTCCAGTAATTTCATACAACCTGAAATGTCTTTGACTTTTCTGGCAGTCTTTCATTTAGTTTGGGTAGGGTTTGTGTAGCCCATTTTGTGGACCTTGGAAGATCCAGATGAAATACCAGCTGACAGAATTTTGACAGTTTTGGCATKCTGTGTTGTGTTCTGCTGGCACCATGGTTGTTCTGCAGAAGACGCAAAGGTTAGTTGTTCTCCAGGAGATCTATCCATTCATATTCTACACCTGTTGGATCCGCTGCAGAGTCGGTTCTGAACCATTAACTATGAAAGAAAACAAAAATATTTATCTCTGCTACTTAAAATTATTTGATAGCTTTCATTTCATTTGAATTTTGTGTCATTTTATGACAGCTAAATGCACTTTTCTACTTCTAGTAATTTGCATCAAAGTAGTGAAGCCTCTTGTGGTGCCTTCTTGTTATTTGTAGGCTGACATCTAGTGGCTGTGGGGCGATGGTTGTCTTGGTTTATCCTGTAAAATGCTTAGAAGGTCAAAAACCTGACATTCCAAAGCTRTCTCTGATGTTTTTACAGACTTTACGGTACACATCCAATTTCTTACATTTTGCTCCATTTCTGCTAATTATCCCATCAATCATCCACAGCACACAGTTCAGTGCCACAAATGTTTTCAGGGTCTCATCAGTGACACTTGTACATCACTTACATGATCTCACACAACTACGCTGCTTGGGTTCTGCTGTCTGTCATCTAGTTTACTGATTGGTAAATCTGGAATATGTGCATTTAAAGGACGTGGATTTTTTTCTTGTGGAAAAGTATGTCACAAATTTTCTAAATCAAACTCATGYACAGTGCAAATATAAATACTCCTTTCCTTTAGGGTAAATTCAGAATTTTGTGCATCTCTTGACAAATTTGTGYAACAATGTGAAAGCTTTTGTTAAAAGGATTATCAACTTCTCCAAAGCTTTAAACTCTTATTACTTTCTTTACCAGATTTATTTGACCATCTCTTAGGGATGCAGGATAGATCAGCATTCATATCGGTATGGGCCGATATTGGTCATTTTTTAGAACATCCATATTGGTCTGATATGTAAAACTGGGCCAATATTAACATCCGATATTGATTTCCCACTTTTTATCTTTGTGTTTCTGTTTTGGGAGGGGAGATGGTYGGTTGAGCGGCATCTGTTTGATCAGTTCAATTCATTTTATGAATGGAATTGAATTCAATTTATTTATATAGCGCCAAGTCACAACATACGTTGTCTCAGGGCACTGTGCATAAAAATAACAATCTAAAGAAGAAGCCAGCAGACCGTGTTGAATCACTTCATCACAGTCTCCCATCCTGAGCAAACGGTGGAGAGGAAAAAATCCCCATTAACAGGAAGAAACCTCCAGCAGAACCAGGCTCAGGACAGGCGGCCATCTGCCTCAACCGGCTGGTTTGGGGGACAGGAAAGAGACACAGACAAACACAGAAGAACTGGTCCAGGTGCACCTTCTTCTGGAAAAGAGACCAAAAAACATGTTATTGATAGAAATAATTACAATAAACATATAGAGAAGAGAGACTAAAGACAACAGCAGAGTGAAGAAATGTGCTCAGTTTGTGCTCCAGCAGTCTACATCTATAGCAGCAGAAATGAAAAATAAGTCAGGAAACCTAAGCCTAATTATAGTCATCATTATGATCATGATAGTGATATTTATGCTGCGTAACCCATAAATAAATGAAGTAGGGAGCCATGTCAGAGTTCTGGTTGTTTATGGTATCAAGAAAAGACCCAAGTATGTTTGTGTGTATGTGTATAAAATAATTTGTGAGGTAAATATCGGTTATCGGCCATTACAGCAATAATTATATCGGATATCTATATCGGCTGAAATTTTCATATCCCTACTATCTCTTWAGGTTTACTGGAACACTTGTAAAGTTTGCTGTGCTTTCTAACAACCTCAGCCAGCTTCTCCTTAGTAAAGCAGTTAAATTGAAAGAGGTAGTGAGAGAACTGTGATGATGACAACAAATTTCACTCCACCTTGCCCACAATAAATTAGCCTTAATGCTTGACTTGAAGCACCAGGCAGTTGGTTGCTTATGTGTGTTTTGAGGAGAAATACTCTTTCTGTTCATTGTTTGTGTTCCAACAGAAATCTGGCCATTGGAATTGGTATTCAGAACTTCCCAGAAGGTCTGGCAGTGAGCCTACCACTGCAGGGCTCAGGGGTGTCAACATGGAAGGCCTTCTGGTAAGTCAACAGTCTGGGTTTTAAAACTCTGTGCCAGACAGAAATGGTTAAACTCTGCAAAGATTGGCCTGACAACAAATTCTTCACTTTGACTGTTGGATTTGTGCTGTAACTGTTAGAAGC